TCGCGACACTTTCAAGAAATGGCGACTGAAAGTCTGCACCAAGTCACCGACTCCAGAGGCGCCGTCATGTGGCTTTGGTCGGCTCACAATAAAGTAAGGGGAATAATGCATAAAATGATTCCTGAGTCTAAAAAGTGTACGACAGACGAAGTGTCAGGATGTCATTTTTAATTTGAAAATGTATTGTCGCATGCATAGCAAAACTGTTAATATAGCTTATGGAACAGACTTGATTTTTTTTTAACAGGCAAAATTCTTTCTGCAGCAAATATTTTTCTGGTCGTCCTTGAATTTTTTTCAAAAAAGTTTTCATATTTAAATATCCAGTAATGATGCATATTTTATTCAACAAATATATTTAAATTTATTTCGCAAAAAATGAGCTTATTTGGTTTTAACATCAATATATTCTCTCTCCAATAGCACACACAGTATTTTTCTGGCCTCTTGAATTTTTTGTAGAGATGACTATTCATATGTAAATATATTTATGCATATTTTATTCAAAAGTTATCTTGATTTTAACTTTGTGAAAAGAGGTTATTCGATTTTAAAATTAAAATGATCTCAACAACTTATATTCTTCTGCTCCCTTGAATTTTGTTGAAGACTTCTCCTGTAAATATATAGATGCATATTTTATTCAACAATTATCTTCATTTTAACTTTGTAAAAAAGAGGTTATTCGGTTATAAAATCAAAATTCTCTCAACAACTCATATTATTCTGCTCCCTTGCATTTTTTCGTAGATTTCACCTGTGAATATATAGATGCATATTTTATTCAACAATTATCTTCATTTTAACTTTCTAAAAAAGAGGTTATATGGTTATAAAATCAAAATTCTCTCAACAACTCATATTATTATTCTGCTCCCTTGAATTTTTTAATGTAGATTTCACCTGTGAATATATAGATGCATATTTTAACGTCTGCAGTGGGAGGAACGACCAGTAGGATGCTACAGGGGTCTGGGGGGGAATAATAAGGACGTGGTTTAGCCTGTGTCTGTGGCCTTTTGCACCTTGAATTAATTTGCCTACTTGAAAACGCATCAAGTAACATTAAGTTGTTAGGATGGCCAAGTGGTCTAAGGTGCTGCATTCAGGTTGCAGTGTGGTTCTGCAGGTGTGGGTTCGAATCCTGCTTCTTCAATTGTTTTTTCATTTTTTTTGTTTTTTCATCCGCACTGCGGACGCTCTACTACTTGTTCAAACATTATCTTTATTATTTAATGTCTTAAACAAGAGGTTATTCGATTTTAAAATCAAAAGTATCTCAAGAGAGCATATTTTATTTCTGCATGCTCCCTTGAATTTCGTTGAACCTTATTTAAAAATTATATTTATTTCAACTTCGTAAACAAGAGGTTACTGTATTTTGAAAACAAATTGATGATGTACGAATTTTTTCTTACTCGAAAAATATAATTAGGTAAACAAGAGACTGGCGGGTGATGTTTCCGAAGACCCGCGGTACCCAAAGGTGCAGTTTCCCCCGGAGGACCTGTGTTGGGGTTGCATGAACCAGGCCAAGGGAACCTGGGACGAAGACAAGGTCTTCAACTTCCTCAGGAAGTACTACGGGGCGGAAAACATCGTCAATTCGAACCGGAAACTCACGAGTGTCATTGTCCTGGGCAACGACGACCGCTTTGAACTAACCAGTGGCTCAAGTAAAACCCAACTTAATATTCTTGCAAAAGTCACGGTTTTCGGACTCATTTTTCTCGTGAATTATCTCAAGTACGCTGTGAGTTGAAATGCACATACTGTATAAACTGAACAGAAATATTTTTAAAGGAAATGATTATTTGTAAAACGTACGAGAGTAAATTTCTGCAACAACGGTGAAAATTTATTCACTGTCAATGCAACTGAACGCCTAAAAGAAAATTGTGTTTGCTTTTTGACGAAGATCGAAGGTATTCTTTTAAGTATTTCTGATAGACTTCGTATAAATGGAACGAGTGTTTTTGTTTGTGTTGTTTGTTAAAATGGTTCTGGTTTTGAGTGGCTTTTACTTCGGTTACTCAAAATAGTAAAAAAGCTTTAAAAAAATTTATTAGATTAAAAAATTAATCTAAAAAACCATGTTTTGAAAAAGGAAAAAATAACCTTAAATGTGGTGCGCATCTATT